TATATATATATATATTTGTGTGTGTGGGGGGCGGGCAACGCGTCCGGCTAATACGCCTAGTATTCACAATCGCGTCATATTCATAAAATTCGACCGTCCACTAGCGTTTCCTGGATTGCGGGACTTCCGCGAGCATATTCTTTAGGATCTCAAAAGCATAAAGCTTTGTTCGAACCTTTATTTAGAATCACCGTTAACTCGACGCAACGGGCAAAGGCGGGCACGCGTTTCCAACAGCTAGAAGCCTAGAAAGCTATAATTCGATTTATTTTATTTTTGTTTTTTAAGGAAAAAAAAAACTTTTGATTGGCGCTTTCTCAGCGAAGCCCTGCAGAGAATCGTCCTCTTCTCGGCTTTGAGTGCTTGAGGTTAGTTTGGTCAACATGTCCCAGGGCCATAAGATTTCCCTGAATCCCTCGGCTTGCTTTCGTTCCTTCATCGAAAATTTTTTTATTCTTACTTGATGTGATTGCTTAGGGTTTATTTTTAATGTTTTTTTTCTTGTTCTGTTCATCCTTCCTTCTCTCGTTGATTGCCATTTGCCATGTTTTTGTTCCATAATCTTTTAACGGTTTGATTCTATTGGCAAATATGAGCCATATGTTTCACGTTGCAATCCCTTTCAAATACTGGACTAATTCGTTCTAGAAACAGCAATCGGCGAGGTTGAAGATGAAAATTTTGAAACCCTAATCGATATTAGGGGCTGTGATTTTTGTGAACCTATTGATCCGTCGGCGCGCTTTCTTTTTCTCGTTGGTCTGTTTCCTTGTATGATTTTCGCTATGCAAGTTCTTCTCCCGTTTCTTATCTCTGCGTTCTTTATCTCAGGTAGAGAGGAGAGGACTTGGTCTCCGCGGAAGCTGGGCGGCGCTGTCAACCTCTTTTGACTGCGAGCCCAGTTTCAACACGTTGCCTTCGTTATCCTATTTTTCTTGGGAGTATGTCTTTAAATATGAATACAGAATTCTCTCTGTTCTGTTCAAACTTTAAAACGTTTTTATAGACTATCTCTACGCATCCATTGCAGCTCGTGCGACAAGAATCTCTCAAGCAATTGCATTACTTCTTGTTCTTCTTGAAGAATTTGTTCTGTTTCGTCATCATGGCTTCATTTTATGGAAACTTTCAACGGCCTCTATCGGCGATGGCCGCGGTTGTCTTCGCTGCCGTGTCCTCCGACTATATCCCTGAACGATTTACCGGTCTCAAGTCTTCAGATGCTAATTCTCTCTCCGTTCCCAGCTCTTCAGAGATGTCCGACTCACCGGCTTCTGCAATCTTAAATCTAAGGAGCTCAGAGGGTCTCTCTTTTCTGTCTAAGGCTTGGCCACCGGTCAATTCGGGCATTTCTCGTTCATCTGATTTCATGTTTGGTTCCTCATCCATGTTTGCTTCGCCACCGGCACTTCTTGATATTTACCATTATGCGAAGCTAACCAATCTATATAAGAATCGCGAGTTTAGTCCTCGAACAACTTACTCGTCTTCAGATGTTCTTTACCGATGGCATCTTCCGAACCCTAATGCCGATGGGATGTTAGGGAAATCTAATTGCTCTTCTGCAATGTCGCAGACAGTTGTGGTTTTGTTGGGGTGGTTGGGTGCAAAGCAAAAGCACCTGAAAAGATATGCTGACTGGTACACATCCAGGGGATTTCATGCTGTGACCTTCACTTTTCCTATGTCTGAAATTATTAGCTACAAAGCTGGTGGGAAAGCTGAAATAGATGTGGAAAATCTTGCAAACCATTTGGCTGATTGGGTTGAGGAGGAAAGTGGGAAGAACTTGGTTTTCCACACGTTCAGTAACACAGGCTGGCTAATGTATGTTCCTGGTTTCATCCTATACATGTAGTCTTCTTTGATAGCAGATTATATAGTTTGACTGGAAAATTTATCTTGGCAGATATGGAGTTCTTATTGAAAAGTTTCAGAAGCAAGATCCTTCTGTAATAGGGAAGATCAAGGGTTGTGTTGTGGACTCTGCCCCTGTGGCTGCCCCTGACCCACAGGTATTGTTAATGTTCTACTCTGATTCAAGTTTTTTTGGTTGAAATGTCTTTTTTCCCTAGCAAGTTTATTTGGCTCTCTTAATTGGAGTCTTTAACATTCGGTTGCTCTTTGTTTTTCTTAATTTGAGAAATTGTTCTATGAATTCTTAATATTCACTTTCCTTTTCAATATTCACAAGTTTTTCTTCTGAAGGTTTGAAATGCTTGTGTACAATGTTGGCTATTTAACTTATTTTTAGTGAGTATCATTGGATTATTAGGTGGTAGGTTCCTTAGCTATGGTATTTACAAATAAAATAGTTATAATTGGTTACGCAGTTGCTCAAATAAATGGAAAGTTGAGATAATGGAGAAACTTTTAGAAGTTAAATGAGTTAGAATTAATAGAATAAAAAATTGGCTATGGTATGCAATTATAGTGGTTCTTATAATGATAATTAGTGGCAGGATAAAACGGCATCTAGGCTTGATAGGTTGAAGTATCATCGATCTATTATATAGAACAATGACTATATAAATTAGGATTTAGGATATAAGTTCTATAGTTAAGATAAAGTAATTAATAATGGAGAAGTGCTTTAGGAGTATTAGATAATATGTTGGAGATGTTGTGTGACAAAATTAGAAATTATAAATTAAAGAGTAATTTTATTAGAGGGATGATGCCATAAGTTTACCATTTATTGAACATAAGACGGTGAAAAGTCACCTTGGGTGTTTTGAATGTTTATATTGTAGAGACTATCAGACTGGGAGATACAGTTCGCAGCAAAGATTGGAAAGAAAAAAAATGAACAAGTCTTATGTAGCATGAATGGAATTCATTTCAAAGTAATTATGCATGATAGATTTAACGCCTCGTGTAGCATTCAACAATAGCAAATGGAAAATAATGGTAGATGGCCTGTCTCAATTATTAAATTGTTTTTTTCTAAGTTGGTCATGCTTGATCACGATCTTATCTGCCATCATTTTATATCAGAGTATTTATGAAAATAAAATTTTTACATGCCATTTTTGTAAGATTTTAATATCTAATTCTTTCAAATTGTTTAGGTTTGGGCTTCCGGATTCTCTGCTGCCTTTTTAAAAAAGCAAAGCGTAGCTGCCAAAGTAATGCCAGATCCTAATATTTCTGAAATGGGTGTGGCAATGGCCGTTAATTCTTTGGAACAGCCCAAACCTGCAGTTCTCGAAGTTGCTATGTTAACTGCTTTGGAGAAATGTTTTAACGTGGTGCTGAATCTTCCTACTATTAACAGGTAACAGTCACAAACTTGATGTTTTGCGCCTTAAATGTAAATAATTTTAATTCGTATGATTTTTAAGTTGAATACATTTTAATGGAAACTTGGTGCAAATAGAAAAAACATACATAATAAATTTTGCAGAAAGGTTAGCATAATGATGTCACATGAAGGCGAGAACCAGCCAGCTCTCTAATACCAGCGAAATTTGTTTAGGGAATACATTAGAATTGTGTGCTATGTATCTAAATGCCCCATTTGTTTATCCATGGCAAGCATGCGGCAGCTCTTTCTTTGGCTGTCATTATTTCATTTCTCATATACTTTCTTATATGTAAGTATAAATTTTAACAAGCAAATCATTGTCACTATTTACAACATAGTAATAATCCTAGGAGATATATTCTCAGCCACTTCCATAAATGGTAGGTGATCTTAGCATGTTATGTTTTCGTCTCATTAGTGTTTCATAGCAATTGCTTTTGTAGTAACCTTTACCCCATGGCGATTTTTTTGAATAATTTGCTTGCTTTTTTTGTCAAAACCATTATAGCTATGAAAAAGGCAATCTCAACTATCAAAATGAATTGGATTATAGCTATGAAAAAGGAAATCTCAACTATCAAAATGAATTGGATTAGTGGGATTAGTGAATGGTGACAACTTCATCAGCTTGATCACATTTTCAACAATTTTGGGTTTGGGGATCATAGCTCTCATTCCAAATGTCTACTTTTTCCATATTTTGCTTTGTTACCACTTTAGTATTGCCTTAGGACACGTTTTGGCTCCTTTTTTTGTCAGTGGCACACTGCTAATTTTGCTGGAAGAAGGATTTACTTTCCCGTCTCTCTACTTCTAAAAATTATAAGAAAAGTGCAAATATAATACCCTAATTATTTATAGGGGGCCATTTTAGTCTCACATCTTTTTATAAGCGTTAAATTAGGTCTTCCTACTCTTTTAATAGGCGTTGAAACTTGATGGTTTCAACTCATATTAAAAGAATATAAGTACTAACTTAAAATTTTTATAGAATCTGTGATTAAATGGGACCCTTCAAAGAATCAAGGGAGATCATCTTGATATTTTTCTCAAAAAGTTATTTTTTTTTCCTCCTTCCATAGCCTCGGTGGAACCAAATGGTTCTTAAACCTATCCTGGTTTCTTCAAAAACTCCCTCTCTATGGTAATCCAAGTAAAATAATAATAATAAAACATCAGCTTCATTGCCAAAGTTGATTTCAACATTCTGACAATTACCTTTTTTTTGCACTTTTACCAGGAGGTTAACTGATGTGTTGAAAGTTTTATCCACGGAGCAGCCCAATTGCCCACAATTATACATCTACAGCTCTGCTGATAGGGTTATTCCAGCCAAATGCGTCGAATCATTTGTGGAGAAGCAAAGAAGAGCAGGCCATGTGGTCAGGGCATGTAATTTTGGGAATTCACCTCATGTGGACCATTTCAGAAACCATCCGCATCTCTATTCTTCGCAGCTCACCAGCTTTTTTGAGGACTGCGTTCTGCCATGCGGCGAAGACTCTTCATAAAGAAACCACTAACTGGAATTTACATTTTTTTTTTAAATGTATCGTAAAAACTATCAATTAACCATTTTTCCTTCTCGGCAGTCAAATTGGCTCTGCCGGAATTTTTGATTTTTTTTTATTTTTATTTTTTGTGAACAGAAGCTAATCATACAAAGACATGCCGAAGCCCTAGGTTTAGCTAGCCTTACGTTCCTGATGTCAGAAGGTTCGAGCCTTGAAGCTCCGTTATTTGATTGGTTCAAACTAGGAATCGACATTCTATAAAATAGAAACCGTTTAAATGCATAGCTTCTTGATGTTTAAAAATGCTTAAACTGATAAATTTGTTGGTTTCATCGCTAATTTTGCTGTTGCTAGAAATGCATATATATATATATATTGTTAACTTTTAAGAATAGAACTTTATATTTTCATTGATAGGAAAATGGGTATAAATATGTATTAGAAGACTTGAATAAAAGAAAACACAGAAATTTAGGAATAAATTAGCTAGGAAATGCATAAACATGGAAACTAAAAATAAAAGATGGAAATAGAAGTTAATAATAATTGCAGTAGTAATCATATAACTAAGCTAATAATTGTAATATTCCTCTTCAAGTTGAAGCATGAAAGTTCATCATGTTAAATTTGGATTTCAAGTTATCGTACAATAACCGAGAAAGATTATTGGTAAGGATATATGTTAATTGACCATTGAATTGGACAATTAGAATACAAATCTCCTTTGAATCGAGTTTTTTTTAATGAAGTGTTTTTCAATCTGGACATGTTTTGCCCAATCATGCGGGATCGAATTATGGGCAACACTAATGACAGCTTTATTATTACAGAATAGCTGGAGAGGAGCAGAGAACGACATGCAATTCATAAAGCATGATACGTAACTAGAAAGCCTTACATATACTTAAGGATATAGAGCGAAACTCGGCTTCAACATTGCTTTGGACCACAACCGAATATTTTTTGATTTTTCATGAAATAAGATTTCCTCACATAAATGAACAATATCATGAGGTTGATCACCTGGACGGAACCGGGCCATAACAAGGTAAAAACGTTGCACTAAATCTGGTAGAGGTGCTAAAATCGCAAGAGTGGCAGAGTAGAGGTGCTAGGATCGCAAGGCGCTGAATCTAGCGCTAGGATTGCAGGGTAGAGGCGCTAAATATGGAGGCAGGAGATCCTGCTGCTTAGCTGGCGGCAAAAATCCTACAAGGAAGGGCCTGCAGGGGGCCAACAACAAGGGTAGAAGGTCTTAGGGTTAGAAGAATAACTTTGATATCATGTCAACTTTGGAGAATAGAACTTAATACTTTCATTGATTGAAAGGTGTATAAATATATATTACAAGATCTAAGAAAGGAAATATATAAATTCAAAAACAGACCAACTAAGAAATCCTTAAATATGGACATGGAAAATAAAGGAAGCAAATAAAAGTTAATAATAACCGCAACAATAATTAGCTTAATAATTCTAATATATAGGCTTGAATTGAGATTTAATTAGGATAATGCATTTGTTATGATAATCAGGCAGCATAAAGTCAGATTAAGGCTTTAGTGCTATTAGTCTCAATCGAGTTAAAATAGTAATTAGGTGAAGATAACTCAACCTTAACTTAGCCCGATTTATCTGACTATTGTACCGTTGGCGACCTTTATTGCCCTAGAGCAGCTTCGTTTTCTTGTTTGTTTTTTTTTTTCAAAAAAACTATTTTATAGCCGCAGAAAGATACAGCAAAACCTATGTATCTTGTTTGATCAAAAAATTGTGTTTTATTATTATTTATTTATTTCTTTTTTGTATAAATTCCTGTCAAGATCTGCATTTAGAACAGAAATTTGAAGTTGATCTATCAACTTTCATATAACAGCTTGTTAACCTCCTCTTAATTGCTGAAAACAATTCCTCATTTCTTTTTTGATGGGCCATTTGCTTACATACCACCCACTTCCTATGTATTTACATATCCAACAGCTAAATTTATTTTTTTACATTTATACCACCCAAATCCTTCAGATCACATGAAAATCACCTTTATTTTCTTTTAAGAAATGAAATACACAGATAAGGTGGCACATACGTAAAAATTGTAGTTTAGCTATTACTTGTGTAAAAACATAGGAACTAAGTGGTATGTATGCAAAATTTCCTTTTTTTTTTGATTCATCATATTGATACTTCCTTAGTTCTCCAACAAACACGAGAAACACAACGAAACCAAACCTTAAAACTCCAACCAAGTAAACTTCAAGCTTAATGCAGTCAATAAAGTCACTCAGATCATAACAGTACTTAAATGAAAAAAAACTAACAAAAAAGGAAAAAAAGAAAACACAGGCTACCATTTCCCAAAGACAATTCCTTGCAGTACTGTTATAAATCTGTACAAATCATGATGAGAACTCAAAAAACTTAGTGGTACAAGCGGATTGCCGTAAATAGGTGGCAATCTTATCATTTATAACAAAATTTTCTTAACGCAATTTCACTGTTTTTATCTACATATATCATAACCTTAATCTTCATCCATCTCGCTTCAGAAGGCTCATTTGTGATTCTGATATCACTTGCTTCAAATTCTTAAGCGATCTCTGATAAAAAACAAAACCCATGAACCAAAACTCGAACTCATCAATGGTTTCAATCTGAATATACTTTTGATTCGGCTTGCTAGAATCTTCACTTTTATTTGCACTTTTTATCTTTCTTAGCGGAATCAATACCTGCACAAAGTTCTAACCCAAACTCAGTAAAAGTAGAGCAAAATTTACTGCAACAATGCTACTGAAATGAAGAGAATTAATAACCTTGTAAGGAATCCTGGCAACAGTTCCTTCCGGTGATCTGAAGACCAGAGATCGGTCGCTGAGGAAGGCTATTTTCTCTGTTGAAATGAAGAGGAGTCCTGGAATGGGACCAGCTGTGGTTGAGAGAAGGCACTGGAATGCCTTAATCAGCTTTTCATCTTCAACAATGGCGAAACTTTTCTTAAATACCCTATCAATTCCTCCAGCTTGAAGAATCCTTGTGCCTAACTTCAACTTCCCTTTCACTGTTTCAGAGACTCCTGGTCCCAAGCTTACTGAAAATTTTTACATGCTATGAAGTTAGATAATTACAAAGCTATAATATTTTTCTTTGAGCTGGAATGATGTTCTCTCATCCCAGATAACATATTTGAAAGTATAACACTCATATGTTAATTACCATGATCTCTGATCCCCTGTGCAAGATTATCAGCTTTTCTTCTGAACTTGTTTATCAGATCAATGATGGAGTCCAATTTCTCTGCAAAATCAGATCTTTCAGCTACACTTAACATTAAAATTGCTACGAAATCAATATGAGATATATGATGATTACTCTGCTTGAAGTGAGATGCGCCGTATTGTGCAGGCCTACTGTATGCAACAATTGGTTCATGAATGGAAGCTTTCACTGTCACAGATCTAACAGGAAAACCCATGACTGATCCTTGGATTTGGTTCTTCATTCTGAATCACTGCTGCGTCTACAGCTTCAACTAGTTGAGAATTCCAAGGTGTGTTCTTTGCATCAAAGTCCATTGATTGATGCCGATTTATAGAAAGAAGAAACCTGAATGCAAAATTTGTCAGTGTTGGAAGAATCTGGGCGGTTAAGCAACCGGAAAGATGCAAATATTTTACAAAGGAGTTAAGTGGCTTTCCGTGTCAGCATTACATGTTTCCAAGTCATATTCAGGAATAAAGGCTTATGTGAAGATGCCATAAGAGAATAATTCCCACAATATCCTTTCATCATAAGAAAATATATGAAGTTTAGGGGTTCAATTTCAATGCTGTAACAGTATTTATTAAATAATCATAACTCTTATTGTAACAGTGCCAACCATTGTTAAAATTTTAATTGTTACACCAAAACACGCCTCAACATAGCTTTATTCTACTTAAGATGTCTCACACTTATGATCTTATGATATTTTGAATAACAATCTTAACTTAATTTTATCAAGGAATCATTCACATTACTCTACAACATAACAAGCATAGTCCAATTAAGCATAATAAAATCACAAAATGCAAAGTAAAGTTCAAGATTCGTGGCTATATCACTTTTAGGAACATATCTTATATTGTTATCTTCCAATTTAAGCCCAAGTTAGAAAAAGAAATAGTCAAATATGGTGGGCTGCCACTGTTTGAGATAAGTTGCAGACTTGGTCCCATCTGATGTGTAACTATTGATTCTCACCTACATATGATGTGGAATTGGGACACCAATGCTCTACCTTTTTTCCTATTCCTTCCTTTTTCTGTTCTTCAAAATTTGTGCAAACACTTGGGACCAGAAAACGTTACGAAACATGTCATCATTTTGATATGTTTTTTGAAGATGGAGACGCCTAATTCGTCGTCATTAGCTTTTAAATTTTTTTTTTCTCAAGGCTTTTCTTGGATGGAAAATATTTCTGAATAATTATGGTTTTATTTTCATTGATAAAACAAGCAATAGAGAAAATGGGCAAAATGATCCTCGTTTATTTGTAAAGAGCCAAAATTATACCATACTATGTAAAAGACGGATTTAGTCTCCAAACTATTTAAATAAAAACTAATATAGGCTATGATAGAACTCTTCTAGTACCCCCTGAATAACCCCTGATGTACGCAGAGCTGCGTATATCTTAAATATTTTCCTATTTAAAGAGTGAGAAATGGTTATTTTCTCCGACAGAAATAATATATATATATATATATAATGAGTGAGTTTTTTAGAACTTCAAGCCAAGGTTTATTTCTAACTATACTCAATTAAATTATGAAATAAATAATTTATAATATTTTTCAAAAAATATTTGTTGACTAAATGTTAAAATATGCCTCGAAGTTGTGGGACTATCAATGAATGCTTCTTGCAATTAGTTTATGTGAAGGTTGAAATTTTGGCTCTATTCAACACAGGTGAAAAAGAGGAGTCAGGTAATGTCCAATTAAATAAAGAATGGTACTTTTCCATGACCATTTAAGTCTTTGCCTAACTATTAGGATTTACGGCTATTACCCGGATTACTGACTATATTGATAAGTGTTGTTATTACACTAACAATCCTTGTCTAAATCTCCCAACTAAACCATATAGTTGGAACTTCTTCTAATGTTGTCAGACACTCGTAGATTGACTAACAACATTTTTGGTCATTTTCTATTTACTATGTCAGTCATCTTGCTTAGGGAAAATCAATATTTCATCATCATGATCATTTTTTGAACCCTTGGAAATATACAACTTGTAATTTTTTTATATTTCTTTCTACTTCTCACCCTTTAATAAGTCTTCTCAATTCCTCTTAACTTCTTCACTTAAAAATCAAAGATCTCATTATGAAGGATACACAAACGAATGCGAGCAGACACACACACACACACACACACACACACACACACACACAGAGAGAGAGAGAGAGAGAGAGAGAGAGAGAGAGAGAGAGAGAGAGATTTTTATCGGAGTTAGAAAACTCTTTTAGAAAACTCTTTAGTATATTAAATTGAGTTTTGAAAATAACTCAACGAGCAATGCCATTTAAGTCTGAGGAGAATGAAGGGTGCGCAGATGACTCAAACAATAGCGGTTCAGAGGCCCTCACCTTATGTGATCTTTTAGACACCATCACACTAGTGTAGCCAGTGTGACATTATTGCCAGTGGGTGGCATGTAGTGATGTGACAATAGTGGGCACCACCCTATCTCTTTTATAGTATATAGTAGAATTAAAATTCTAAAAAATCTTACTATTTAATTATGGGTTAGCTTATGTAGACAAGGACCTCTAATGGCACCATTTTGGATCCACCCATGATTCTATATATTTTATAAACTAAATATATGATCAATTATTAATTATAAGAGGACTGAAGAGTGCAAACCCTTGATAGAAGAGTCAAATGGAATACAAGTTTTTTTCTTTTCCAATAAGTAAAACTCTGAGGAGCAGAGATAAAACCTATGACTTTAAGATTGATATGAACTAATAAGTTAAAGCCCCCACCTCATTAGGTCATATATTTCAATCATTTCCATCTCATACCAATTGAGTTATGCTCATTTAAATTTCATTTAAGGATCAATTTTCTTTTCTAGAAAAATTTGAGCACTAAAACATAAATTCAAAGTAGAAGGACTTCAAACGTAGGGTATTAAAATAACTTTCAAATTTTTTGCCAGTTGAGCTAATTGAAACTTGTTATTTGAGGATTAAACCTGATAGCTAATTAAATAATTAGTTATAAACAATATATTATAAATTATTATAATGCTCATTTTTGGTTCAAAAGAAATACAAAACTAAATAAAAGAGCTTCATCATAATAGAAATTGATTTTAAAGGTTTGTGCACAACTCTAATTTCACGCATTTGTTGCAAAAGGGTAATCAGGAGTCCAAGGAAAGATATGGTTATTCATGCATATGAATCCCTTGAGAAAAACAGGTTGGAATGGATGTAAAGCAAAGCACACTCAAGAAAAGAAGGCTAACAATGACAGTGTGCACCCAAAAATGATCTACATGAATCTTAAGACAATCTAAAGGTCAAGATAAAAAGATAGATGATGAAAGCGTGCCAAAAATTGATTATGAATATAAAAATGCTCCATAATGACATGTAGGTTGTAAGTCCTCTATTAAAGCGGGGACAATAAAAATATACCATAAAAACCTGTAACTCACCTATTAAAGTGAGGACCATTAAAAGACACCATAAAGAATTGTAAATCTTTTATTAAAGAGAGGACCATAAAAACATAATCATAACCCAAACTCCACCATTAAAGTAGAGATAAACATGCAGTTTTAGACTTGATCCCTCTATCTCCTATAAATATAGGAATCATACCATGTATGAAGGGGGAGGAGGGGGCTTATGGCTCTTTTTTCTAGATCCATCTTCTGTAAGAGATACCTCTCCATTTCTTTTGTAATCCTAATATTATATATATGTATATATATATATATATATATATATAATGGGTCAAATAGCCCAATGATAGCCCAATTCGCCCCCATTGGGATAATTTTGGATTCAACATTCTAAAATGTGTTGTAAGCATGAAACATGTTACCAAACAGAAAAAAATACATCTGAAAGACACTCTTCACAGGGAGTGCATTAAGTTCATGTAACAACAGATCTAGAGCTGGAAACACCATTTCCGTCATCTTCCAAGTGGCTTTGGCTAAGAGAAGAGTACTGCAAAATAGATGGCCGGCTCCCAACGGTTAAAACAAGCCAACCAACCATGCTTGTGCACCGCTCTATCAATCCCGAGTGGGTGGCATCTCATCCAACAAATGAAGGGAGTGTTATTTTACAACTTATCTTAAGCTAGGACACAAATTTCTCTAAAGTTGTATAGGTTCAATTGATACTTAGGAAAATTAGTTCTGAGCGAGCAAACAAGAAGTTAGCAAAAAAGTCTCCTCTTTGGGGCAAGCAAGCAAAAGACACACCTCTGAGGTAAGTAAATAAAAAATTCCCTTACCAGGGTGAGCGAATAAAAAAAACTCTAGGATAAGGGAGCGACCAACGGTTCAACCTAATAAATGAGATGGGTGAAAACTAAGAATCGAACTAGATGATATCACGACCGGTAATTTTTTCAGGAGTCGGGTCGCTAGTCAACACAAAAAAACGAAATTAACATAAACAAATTCTTCAACACAACACCGACCAAAGAAAATGCTTCAGAGTTGGCATATAGCACAAAAGATGACAAAACAGAGTGCAGTGAGCGACTGTATAAAGAGTATCATCGACGATTCATGTAATCATGTTTTTTGCTTTAAAAATATTTTGTATTTATCACAAATGTAACTATTAAGGAGCAAAAAAGTTGGGGAACTTAATATGTACACCCAAAAATGGTCTGCATGTATTTCAAAATAATTTGACAATCTAGATAAAAAGATAAATGACAAAAATGTGATAAAAATTGATTATGAATATAAAAAAATACCATAAAGATCTATAACTCTCCCATTAAAGGGGAGACCATATAAAGACACCACAAGTATCTATAACTTTTCTATTAAAACGGTGATAATAAAAAGACATTATAAAGACCCGCAACTCCTCTATTAAAGCTAAGACCATAAAAATATAATAATAACATGTTACTCTCCCATTAAAGCATGGGCACACATGTAATTTTAAACTTTGTTCCTCTATCTCCTATGAAAAGGGGAATCATATCATGTATAAAGGGATAGGAGGGGGGCTTTTAGCTCTTTTCTCTAGACTCATATTCTGTAAGGGGATCTCTCTCCCCATCTCTTATAATCCCTATATTCTATATATGAAATGGGCCAAAGAGCTCCGGGATACCCTAGTTGCCCATGCGAGGCAAGTTTATGCGTGTTATTTTATTTTTTTCCTTTCTTGTCTCTTTCTTTTTCTCCCTCAAGTTCCCCATCCCTTCGATACTAGGGCATGCTTCATATGACAGATTTGGATTCAACAGGCAGAAAACCCAATTACATAAAATCAAATGATGTCTTCATATCTTCAATTTTTTTACTATCAATTTTGTGAGAAATTTCTATTTGGTTTCACATGGCTTTTGCTTCTTTTATTCACATTGAAATTTTTTGCGTGCTGGAAGATTGACGGCGATAGAGTGATAATTTAACATCTTAACATTGTACAAAAATGTAGCATACACACAGATGATTGAAAATCAGGAGAAGATACCAATATGTTTTACGTGGAGGAAACCCAAAAATTAATAAAAAACTATAAAGTCTAGTCATGTCAAAGTAATTTACTATGAGTGTGTAATTACCAAGAAACACACCCTTATCCACCAATTGAGAAAGAAGGATTATAAT